TTTCTTCGAAAAAAGGTTTTTCTTGGACTCTGACGCTTCACTTTACAGTCAGAACCAGATGACCAGAGTTAAGCCCCTCGAAGCACAAGTCTTCCAGAAAGATGGAAAAGTGCAAAAACAGATAGGCAGACGACAAAACCGATTTCCTCGAGTTTTGGGTATCTACAAACTAGTTTTTAATGCTCCATGGGATTTGCATGGATCGCAGTCGAAAGTGTTGGCGAATGTGTTTTGTCCGGTATTCTAATACATTATAATTGTAATTATAATTATAACTGTCCCAGGTTGGTCCCATAGTGTTTTATTGGGGGTTTTGCTTTTGCTCATGAAAGGACGGTAGCTTACACTATAAAAACATGCCCGTCCTCATTCAGCTCCTTTTTAGAGGGTTAGGATGTTCATCAAACCACTCTGAAATATGAATTTTAAACCTATCGTGTCGTTTTGCCCGTAAGTGCGGATCCTGAATCCATACATGCGCTCGAAGAGGGACAAGTATTCAGTAGTCTGAAAATTTTACTGACAACAAATCTCCGATTTGCCATCCCTTGTCAAACATAACTCGGCCTCTGATCTCGGTAGACCTGTGGTTTAGACCGAGTTGGTTAGATATAGCGCATTTGAGTCAGTCACTTGATTATTCCGACTCCAACCGGTGCATTCTAACCTCAGATCACCCAGTTTGGAGTAACCTAGGACAGTCTGATGATGACATTGCAGGCCTCGATTATTTTTGACAGAAATATTTGTGTAGCTCTTTGCTCTTCAGCTTGCATCAAATTTGCGTATGTAAACACATCTCTGTAAGGTGATCGGCGGCCACATGACCTAGTTTTGGTTCTCGACACCTTGTCCGAGAGTTGAGTGCAATTTTCTATTGTTGGGCGTCAACATTTGAAATACCTTTTGGCTTCAATAATTAAAACTGATGCCGTTTCTAAAAACCGCTCACCCGCGTGCTCTTTACCTGGTCAGCACTTCGCGGTTCGTGAGTGTAGGGTACCTTGGCCCCTTATTCTCATCCATACTTATTAAGCTTAACGTAAAATGCAATTTTTTGATCTTGAGAGGCTCTTACTGAAAGGATAATCAATAATCACTAAAAATGTTATCTTGGCGAATTTGATACTGGCGGTTGCCCAGTCTACATTTCTACACTTGGCATGCGGAACTATTAACGCATACAAATTATATTTAAACGGGCACGTTCAAATTTGACACTTTTTAAATTTGACTTGTAGTACATAAGGACACAGAAAATACAATTAATAATGTGGTAGTTGAAATCTTAATAAAAATCCAAGGTATCTGGAAAGCTGTGCAATTTACTCATTAGTTTAAGACCATCCGTAAAAAAGCTTCTTTCTCAAGCAGCATCTCTTTTTAAGTTACCTTTTCCAGTTATATTTCCGACTTTTGACAAAATAAACGCTGTGTTTCATTGAGGCGACTTCTTACATTAATTTTCCATCACAAACTTCGCAGCTGATTTTTCACACTGCATAAATCTGGCGAGATAGGATGTGATTAAAGGCGCAATTTTTGGGAAAACAGGAGCTTTCTTTTTTTACAAACGCAGGTTGGCAAAACTATGCAATTTTTTTTCCAAAGCTTCACTAATAACGCCTAGAGGCAATCCCTTTTTTAAGACAACTACAAGTTAAATGCATATGCAAATATCTCAAACGCAATTAAACCCCCTTTTTAACAACCACCTTGAATTTCAGACAGGCTGTAAGATGTAAGGCTCAGCTTTTCTCAATACATAATTCAGAAACAGAACAGGAATAGCATTCATTTTCCATAAATATTAAGTGCTCAAAAGGTCACTTAAGGGTGCATATATGATCGCCCAAACGGGACCTACCAGAAAGCATGCACAACTAACGGGATACCAATAAAATAATAATTGTAGTTCTTTCGCAGTTACAGAAAACCGTCAACATCTTTCATAGTGGTGAAAAAATAAGCGCAGTGTTTAAATTTTACCCTTGCCTTTTCTCGAGAAGAAGGAGCAAAGAGAATGAGCATCTGTCGACAAAATGCTCGAATAAAGTACGTTTTGAAGACATAACTTTATAGGACAGACTTTTGAATTTGACACATGTCTATTCACCCTGGGATGTTGCCACTAAAGCAAATTTTTATCCAAAGTTAGCTCTAGTGGTAAATTTTATACCGATATTGACAGAACGTTCGAAATGAGATTTCGATCAAGAAAGATTGCTTAAGTGTGTGTATAATATTTATTATTATAGAGATTAATCTCATAATATTCTTTGTCTCTAAATCCGTACTTGATTAGATTGATTATTTAAATCGTTTTAATCAAATAGTGTTTTTAGAAAAGGTTACAAGAAAATGCTTTTTTATGCTCATTGTACAGCGAATTACGTCCTTTTAAATTAGTACCTAAAAAGGTATTTTTGACCATATAAAGGTTGTAATTATGAGATTCTTTTTGGAGGTCCAAAGTCCACTCCAAAAACACCGTAATTTTGCGTTCACTAATGTTGCTTATATGATATACGATCAAGTACATATCCACCGCAAATTTATATTGACCCTATAAGGTATACTGTTATTGGAGTAGAGCAGTGTATGATTTTCTTCCCACGGGAATTAAACGGCCTGTGGGCTAAGAATTCTAAGCAAGAATGCGACGGCAGGAAAGGCTCAAAATTACTCATAAATTAAAAAAGTTATAAAAACCAAAGACACCCTATTTGAGTGTCATCTGTAAAGAAGACATGCTTTGTCGCCTAATAAGTACAAGAAATCAGGTTTCTGTGCATTTCGCCGCAAAACATATTTTGGTTTATAAGTGCATCGGAAATCGATAGAAATAATACATATTACTCAAAGAGTCATTGTGAGATCAAGTGCAGTTTTTGCTGGTGGCCGTAAAAGAGCACATTAAAAAGTGCAACATACTGGCGTGTCTTAAATATTATGGGATTATTCCATATGGAAAATTATTCAAATAATCCTTCCTGATTAAAACCGTATTCCAGCATTTCTGTGGTTTTGATTGAGATCGACCGTTAATTGCATGATCCACATCCGGTAAATTCTACAGAAAAAACAGAAAAAGGACGTTCAAGAGCATGCTGCTTTGGTATAGACCGTTAAAATTTTTTAATTTAGTGTCTATAGTGACCACACATAAGCCTTCGTTTCGAGAAACTGTTCAGTACGCCGATAAGCGCGTATATGTTTAGGCTTTCGAGGCCTCCAAGAAGCCGCCATCCTCAGAAAGCAAATTGCAACAAAAAGGGAGGAGGTTTTTTGATATGGAGAAAATCTCATATTCATGCTTGTATCCGCTTATTTTTTTCTCGTTTTTGTCGACTGACAAACATTGCGAAATGTAAACTTGTGAAAGTGTTATTTCTTTTTCATTCCTATTAAAAATCGCCATCAAAATACTCTTTCTTTTAATCTGTAGCATCTCAAAAAATGAAAATCCGAGAAACCTTACGTTGAACTCTCTTAAGATTAGTCAGACATCTGAAAGTTGACTAGTTGTCATATTGAGTTCTGCAAAAATATTATTTAGGAAGGGTTCTAGAGCGGACTATTTTCTGTGCAATTTAACTTATTTAGTTTTTTGAATGAACTGATTTTATTTATTTTATTAATTTGAGCTTACCCACCTCACATTAATCTTTCACCTTTGAAAATGTCCACTCTATCTGGTGAAGGTATTATTTCTACGCAGTGTAATATTTCTTTCAAAACTCAAATATCTTTAGTAAACTAAGTATGATTTATTATCGACTGAAGTGTTTGCCAATGTATGTGAGCCGGTTAAAGGATGGATAATAAATATTTGTAAATTAAAGAATATTTCATGATCCACGTCGCCTATTTCAACCAGAAGTCAACTAGTAAACAGCGGCCTGTAGGTTTATGCTTGAGACATTCCGGTTAGCCTCATAAGCAACCACTGGGAAATAAAGTGAGCATCAAAGGCACGTATTTTCTCCATAAATTTTAAACACCCGCATGAATAAGTCAAAGGCATATTTTTAATTTTTTTGAGGCAAATTGGAACATTAATTTTTTTGAAGAAAGGGAATACTTCTTTCCTCAAAAAAGTGTGATTATATATCGTTATTTGGGCTTGCATAATGCGCCTTATGTTCAGGTATGCACTGGTTTGCCGATAATGCTTACAGAATTTTGAGTTAGAAGTTTCCGAAAAAACGGAAGTCCTTCAGCAGCATCACTGTGTACTAATATAAAACTGTCATGGGAAAAGCGCGTCGTCTGTAACTTGCAGGGCATAAAAGAGGGGAGGTAAGAGTCCTAGTTTTGTTTAAGTGCACACAAAACCTCCTAGACAGCTTCAAAACCGAGATAATTCATTTCATAAAGCACAGAAATTAATGCAAAAAACTTGGTTTTACATACGTCCTTTCCTGCAAAAGTGACTATATTTATACAGGTAAATCAATAAATGGTAGACAAGAACATTGCTGAAACATGTCATTGTTCCTGTATAATAAACAAAACAACTCAATAAATGTTCACCAAAAGCCGTCTGGTCTGCTGCGTACGAAAGAGAGTTGTGCTCCGTTCGATGTCATTCGTTAACGAAATTTCATAATAATTTAAATTACTTTTGGAAAATAGTTATAAAACTTGAAGGCCTTTTTGTGGATTTTTATGTTTACTGCCAACTATGCTGTAACGCATCTATTGGGAAGTGCGCTTGGAGTTGCGAGCAGAATCTGTCAAGTGCAGGTACACTCATTGATCACAATATCATCCTGGTGTCCCCCCGGATGTGATGGTTGACGATTTTAGGACTAGTTGCTTCGCCTACGCTGTTCAGTCTCCTGTTTAAACTTAAACTCATCCGACTGTATATTTCATTATTACACTTCGTCTATGCAAGTGTACTTTGTCCTAAACATTCAGGCTCGTACAGGAGTCCATCGTCTGAGGTAGTAGCAGCAACAGAACAAGCGACAGTCATAATGCATGTAGGCCAATCATCGAGCGACGGCGCAAGACTGGAGGTGACTGCGCAGGGCTCTGTACGGCGGCGTCAGATCGATAAATCGATTAGCCGAGTTCTCACCCGAGGCCCAGGCTTCAATCAATTCTTTGCCTGTTTTGTATACGGCGTGGACGACTATTTTGGTGGCTGCGAAGTTGGACTCGCGACCCATTTCGTAGGTGTGGGCGGCTACTTGTGACAATGCGTCGCCTCGTCGCACAGCCAGCATATTTTCGTGTATGCGCGATCCGAGCATGCGTCCAGTTTGTCTTGCGTAGTACCAAGGACAATTTTGACAAGGAATGCGATAAACTACTCCAGATTGCGCTTAAGGCTTCAACCGGTCTTTGATTTTTATGAGCCCATTGCGCATGGTGGTTTTGGGGCGGTATGTAATTCTAATACCTAGCTCCGCAGCAATGCGGTCAGTCGCTTCTGAAACGCCCTTGTTGAATGGCAGAAAATGCTTTGCTTACCCAAACCAGCCCAGTACGTAAGCACAAATATGTGTCTTCGCGACGGTGCAGCGGTACACGACGTGGAAGCCCGAACAGGATCTCGGCATGCTGATGACGAACTCCTAAAACCCATCTGCTCATTGTTCGAAAGTAGCAAAAGTGCAATGTCCGTGCTGTACGCCATCAAGAAAGCATTTATGGATTTTGACGGAGGTCCATTCTTCGAGATCATTGGAACATCGGAGCATAGTCAATGAGCGAGGATCTCTTACAAGCACTGCTCACCGTGAAGGGATTGGATTGCAGCCTGGTATTTGACGAATTTTTGAATTTATTACTACGACCAAACTCCGATTTCATCCAGTAAACTGCACACCTATCCGGCAAAAATGACTGTGCGGAAGTTCATCATCATCATCATCGTCATCATCATCATCACCGTCAGCAGCAGCAGCAGCATCATCATCGGGGAGCAGAAACAGAGGGATGCGCACATGCGCATGGAGCACTGGGTACACAGAGACAGTCTACCGAATAGGCATGGGCACTTACTTGAACAAATTTTCATCTATGTTTCATCACCTGGAATTCTTTGTCATGCCACCCGCTCTCCTCCGTTACAGTATGAACGATCTCGGTCCGTCGGGTGGTTGCCTGTACGTGACTTCTGCGATCCCCTTTGAGGTTGTTTCCACCAAAAAGCCAAATGGGGTCGGTGTGCGTCCGTTCCCGATTTGCAGCAACAGAGAATGTCAGAAAACGTCGACCTAATGAGCTTCGATTCGATGAAGTGCTTTTTACTCACTTGATGGATCCCGTCTGTGAATTAACCGCACCTTATGAGTGTATGGCTTTGTATTTCTTGTCTCAAATGCTACTCAGAATTATGACTGGCTGATCGGGAACACAATAAGCTGGAAACGGTTTTTGTGTCAGTCTGCCGACGCCTTTGACAATACACCCTCGGATAATAAATTATGGTAGTTAGCGCATTAGTCTATTCTGCCGATTGGATCTATCCATTTATATTCATATGGTCGTCGATTATGTATCCATGGACAAGGTTCATCCTCTTCATTTAGATGTGATGTCAGTAATAGTCTTTCTCAAAAATTTAGGCATCATTCTGTGTTGATATTCCCTGGTTCGTGAGTATATCAAGTCCAGTTCATCTAAGACAGCTAAGGCAAACGACCATTTGGACTTATGACCAGGGGTTGTATATATCAAAACGCCGTTCAGTTGGAAAACAGTTCAGGTTGAGGGGCCAGTATGGGAGTAAAAAGATAGAAAAACGTGCACTGAAGGAGGGGGAGGTTTCAACAGAGGTTCCGGCAGACCTAGACAGAACCAGTGGTCAATTGTTACCCTCATGAACCTAACACAGTTTAGCCGGATGACTGTTCGAGAAGACAGAGGGCAGTACGTGAGGTGTGAGAGGCCACGGTGGCAGGGTGGGAGGTGACCGAATATGGAGTCTTAGAATGAAAACAAAACAGCGGCTCGTACCGCCGACATCTCTACTTTTAGCTTCGTCTTCTGTTCACAATGAAAGCCTGAGTACGCTGGGGGAACGCCCTCATGTATTCCCGCAACGGCAAGAACTGTGAATTTGTCTCCCTAGATTCTGCTGTTTGTCCATTTTAAGGAATTGTTTTGTTTTCAGTTTTTCCAAATTTAAGTGTTTTTCGTTAGGGTGAAACAGCATGCTAACGTCTTTTTTAAATATTTCCCGCCCTAAACTGCAGGCGGTTAGGGTTTTACGAAGGCGCATGCCTACGATTGCTCACTGGGATGCCAACGCCTGTTGTCTGAAATGGGCAATTAGTCAAATTCGGGCACATCGAAGAGGTCACCGTATGCAAAACATTGCTAATTAAACTTTACTAACTTTAAGAGCAAACTACAAGCTGGATGGCAGTTTTATTTCGCTTTGTTTACAGGATGTTGCAGGAGAATTTACCTGGTCGGGATACAGTAGGTGGGTTAAATCATGAAATGTCAACCGAAATTCTGAAATGCGTTTTCGTTTCGAAAAGAATAATTAAGTAGAGTTGAAGATCTAATGATCAAACTGCACAATTCTATAATAATTCAGTTGTCGCAGGATGCCGACTTTCGAACGAACATTTTTCCGGCAGCAGGAAAAGCTATACTCTGTAAAACGTGACTACTTCAATAGAATACATTTTCCCAATGATTTTCGATGTCTTTAAAAGGTTCAATCATATTTCTTGGAAAATATGCAGAAAAATATTCATTAGTTTAGTCATCCGGTAGAAAATTATGTCGTCTTCCAATTTTATACTCGGAAGATATGTCTAAGTCCGTTTTAAAGAAGTTTTCTAATTCTCGAATGAACGGCCATTTTATGGTATTAAGAAAAACCACAGCCAGAAACGTTTTAAAATCGAGGAAAACCTTCTTGCGAGTATAAAATTGAAAGACGGCATAATTTTCTACCGAATGAGTAAAAGAATGAATATTGTTATTTATGCTTTTCATGGGATATAAGTAAATTTTGAAGGGCATCGAAAATCAATGAGAAAATGCATGCTATTTAAGTAGTCGCGTTTTACAAAGTGCAGCTTTTGCATTTTGCCGGAAAAAGACGTTTTCGAAAGCCGGCATCCTGAGGTAACTGAATTATTATATAACTAGAGTGTTTGATGATTACTTCTCCAACTCTAATTAATCTTTTCGAAACAAAAATGCATTTCAGAATTCCGGTTGACATCTCATGAGTTAGCCCACCTACTGTAGTTTCGAAACTTCGATTAGCTTTTAGAGACGATACTGGCCAGACGTTAATGTAGGGGTAGAAACTTCTAACCAGGAAATATGGATAGAAATTCTGCAGTGAGCTTGATTTGCTGGCAGGTATCCGGTAGAGGCTAGCGTTGAAGACATGAATCTCCCCAGTTTTGAGCAGTAAAATACGGGATAATTTACTCCCAAATATGCATATCATTTATATGCCGACTTTTGGTCTGCGATTATAAACCCTAGTTTAAACTGATTCACTCCACGTTAGCAGTTGCTTTCTAAGGAAACTGACGAGAAACAATTTCGAAACTGGAGTGTCTACCTGAAAGCCCACGGGTCCACAGATGAGCCAGGCAGCGATAGAATATCGGCGAAACACGCGTTTTTGGGCATTTATCTAATGCCCATACTGCTAATATAGTATCTTCCAACAATAAAACAATTAATCTCATTCGACTTACTATCTGGATTTACATTCGAACCCAGCATTGCGTGGAAGCAACAGATAAGGGTCATTAGCGTAAAAGGAGTTGCGGCATTTATTAAATGCAGTTGCGACGCCAGTGCATGACTGCCACGGTAAGCGCCTACTGCATCAATTACAAGCGGCTTTACTTGGTGCGATAATGGCTTGATGATCACCATCTGAGGCGGTAATTGCTGAGTATGCATCACACGTGTTGGTCATCGGCGTGATAAGTGCTCCACGGTTCAGCTCACGGACAGTGAAACTGAAGTGGTGTTCTTCTTCGCACTCCCAGCATAGCAAATTATGCTGCTCGGTCTAAGTGTCAGCATTGATTGAAGAGGGGGTTAATTGCGTTTTTTGATGGGCTGGGGGCAGAGGGATGGATAATCATGAGTCTAAAAGCTGGGTTGAACTGTGACTTCAAATGGCGAGGCGAATGGATTTAATTGTCCAAGCGATGGTGTCTCCTTTTCCTCAACAAACGAGCATCTCTATTGTGACTCACAGCAATCGCAACTGGCACACTGTTATATCCGAACAAGCCGTGAACTTCTATTGGCCAAATATCTCTCAAAACGGTTTTAATGGCTTAAAGCGGAAAAATTCCTGAAAGAATTCGAATTCAGTAGACAGAAAGTATGATGGAATTTTAGGATGTTCCCGAGGTGGACTATAAATATTGCACAATATAACTGCAAATTGAAGTCCAGCAAGCAGCAGGACCACGTGGCCAACCTCAGCTTGCCCTGATAAATATCAGCCCTTTGACATACACAACCCCTCTTCATAAATTATGCTTTAAGGCTATCATTTTTATTGGTAAGTCTGCGTGCATTCATCTTTTCTGCGGAAATTCAAATTTCTGTGTCTTCCTCATTCGTTGTTTTTGTTATGCCGCAGTTGATAAGTCGACGCGAAATCTGTTGATTCCTATAAGTCTTGTTGTGTATGCCTGTTCCAAATTCATAAGCGGGAAGTATTGCATCAAAATTATGGCTCGTTTCTGAATCCAAGTGGCTGGGAGCACTTTATGATGGCCGACTTAGGTACACAGGCTGAAATGCTGCTGGGACGGAATCATGGTGCCAAACAAATATTGACATGCTGGATTTCGGTCGAGCCTCTTTTCAGTTCTCTCAACGAACTCTTCGCATTCACTTTATATTATCTGCGCGGCCGACATCAGTTTTGCAGGGTTGCTTAGTTTAACTGAAACAGCTGGAAAAGGTGAACATTTTAAAGGAGACTTGCTACGGTGACAAATATTATGAATGTTCCTCATTGATTTTCGATGCTCTTATAAGTCCAAAAACATTACATGGAAAACAGGCAGAAAAATGTTGCTTTTTAATTTTCTCGTAAATTACCTACGAAGTTGGAGTAGATCAGTTTTCAAGGTCAATTGGCTCAGACCGAGGATTTTACGTATGAATATTTGTGTCAAAGTCCACCAACCACAGCGCGTAACCGCGTAATATTTATTGACTGCCTCCAAGCACCTAGTAGCATACTTTAGGATAAGACGATACCATATTAATGGCACAGGTAGTAGTTAAAAGCGCA